GGCCAGGTTGGGGGGCACATTCCTAATCCCTGTACAACCAAGGGGGGCTCCTGGGGCCAATGACTTTGCTGGGGAAGGGGTGGGGGTGGGGGGGGGAAGGTGGGGGTGGGGGGCACGCGTGTGCAGGGCGTGTGAACACTACAGGGGCTGCACGTGGGGGCGGGGCTCTCCTGGCCCATTTTTTTTCAGTTGAGGTTTTTGTTGCGTTTAACATTATTATTTTTTTTTTTAATAATCCCCTATTTTTTGTTTTTTTTTTTGTTTTTTGTTGTCGTCGTTCTTTATCTTTATTATTATTATTATTATTATTATTATATTAATATTATTTGCCCCGGCAAGAGCAGCTCCCCCATGGTGATGGGAGGAGGAGGAGGAGAAGGGGGAGGGGGAGGGAAGGGTTGGGGTGGCGTTGTCACTGTGTCCCCCGTGCCCTGGGAGGAATGGGGGAAACGACACACACCCCCCTGATTTAGGTACACGTTGATACCCCAGGGAAAAATGGGTGGCCCTGGCACCTCTTGCCCCCCCCATCTTCCTCCTTTTCCCCTTCCCCCCCTTTTTGCCCCGGTCGGTACAGCCTCCCCTTTGTACACGTAGCGCCACGGCCCTCGAGATAGAAACGTTATTTTAGATACATTTTATTATGAATAACTTTTGTTATGACTATGGCTGGTAACCATGACTACGTTATTAAAGATAAAAATAAAATAAAATTAAAAAAAAAACAAAACAAAACAAAAACCAACCACCCCAACCACCCCCATCACCTTTTTCTCCCCTACGTGGCAGAGGGGGGGGGGGGAATGGGGCACAGATTCTCCTCTCCCCCCCCCCAGCATCAGTCGCTGGAGGAGTCAGAGGCTTCACTGGGGCTCTCATCATCTGAAGCTTCGCTGGGGCTGAGGCGAGGGCTGCGGGGTGGCCCCCCCTCACTGCCTCCACCTTCTGACTCTTCCTCCTCGTCGTCGTCTTCTTCATCCTCATCATCATCACTGCCAAAGATTTCTTCCTGATCACGGGCAGCGCGGGCGGCATCGCTGCCCCCCCGGCGGGCCCCCCTGGTTTCCTCCTCCTCTTCGTCTTCTGCTTCATCCTCGCTGCGGGCTGAACCTCCCTGCTCACTGCTGCTGGCACCAGAGCCTTCAGCCTCCTCTTCTTCATCACCGCTTGCTGCTCCCTCGCTCTCGCTGCCTTTCTCCCGCTCTTCATCTAGGGAGAGAGATCAGAGAGAGAGCGAGCCATCAAAGCAGACACCCCCCCTCCCCACGTAAGGAACGCCCCCAACGCTGCTCACCTGAGCCTGCTGCCTCCTTCTCAGCCTCCATCTCTTCCTCCTCCTCTTCCTCAGGCTCGTGGTTCTCCAGCTGCGCCCTCCGTGCCTCCTGCAAGGGAAGAGAAACTCAGCTGCCCCCTGCGAGGGGTGGGAGGGGAGGGGGACACAACATGGGAGGTATCCCAAAAAGACAGGGGGGGCTGCTGGGGGAGGGAAGGTCATACTTGTGCTTCCAATTCTTTCTCATTCATGTCACGGTGCTTCACCACCAGCACTGCATTGGTGCCTGACTGCACCCCTGCCCGCGCTCTCCGCTTGCTCAGCCGCACCCTGAGGGGCAGAGGGGGTCAGGCAGCCCTGTTTGGACTCCCTGAAGACTCTTTGTAAACTGAGGCTTCCAAACTCACCTGGTCTCCAACTCGTTGTAGTAAACACCGTCACCCTCCCGGAAGATAAAAAAGTAGTTCTCCTCGTAGCCCTTGCTGGCTTTGTTTTTCACGTTCCAGTTGTACTCACGTGCAATCTTGTAGTCGTATCTGGTGAGGGAATACAGGTCAGGAGGCAAGAATTAACTGGGACGGTACGACCTCCCCCTCCAAACCATCCCTCTCTGCTGCCAGCCCATCGCCTCCCTCCTCCTTTCAGACCATCTCCAAAAAAATCCATAGGATGCTCTTGATCTGTGTTGTGCAAGTCTGTAGGGTGCCCTCCTTCACCATTTTAAGGGCTCCCCCAGCCCTAAGCCCACTCCCCTCATACACGTCCTCGGGGGCATAGTCCATCTCCTCCTCCTGATCCCTCTTCCGTTTGCGTAGCGTCTCCTCCACTGGAAGGAAATAGGCCACAAACTGGTTCCCCTCCTCGTCCATCATTCCCCTGTGGGCAGGAAAATGTTAACTCAGCCTTGGGGGCAACCGTCATCCACTTCCTCAGCCCTTGTGGTCCATCTGTATCCTATTCACCTGATCATGGCCTGGGACATCATTTCCAGCGCTGCGGCACCACTCGTGTCCTTCGGCGCTGGATCCGAGTCAAAGATGACTTGGGCACAGGGATTGATCCACATCTGGAGCAGGGAAAAAAGCAGAGGTGGGTGGGGTCACAATGAACAGACCCCCATTCCCTCCCTAAACACCTCATGCACCCCTCACCGTACCTTGAAGTCAGGGAAGACAGGCATGACCTCGATGGGGGTGACACGAGGTTTGCTGTAGTGCTGTGTGATCTGAAGGGAGAGGGGGCGGGGGGAGAACCGCACAGGATGGGGTCAAGATGGTCCCCCCCCTCTACTCCCAAAAGCAGGGTGGGAGACCCCAAGCCGCCCCCATCCCCCAATCCCTTCTCACCGCTTTCTGAGCATCTTCAAAAGTCTTCTCGATGGCAGCGATTTGGCTGTCGCGGTCTTTGTAGATCTCTTCTTCTGTGAACTGTTGTTTCACTGAGACTCCGATCCTGGGTAGGGATGGGCAGAGAGGCAGTGGGGGAGGTTTGGAGAATGAAATCAGGAGGTTGTGCCCCTCGTGTGCCCTCCTTCAGACTCACTTGACCTCGGGTTTCTCGTTGGACACGCCGTAGCGGTTGAACTCGGTGGAGATGTACTCGGTCTTTCGCATCCATGGCACCACCTTCGCGTGCTGCTGTGACCTGGGCCACGGGTGGGGTGTGTGACAGAGGGTTCTTCCAAGGATTTGGGGGGAGATCTGTTCCCCTACCAGTTCCAGGGAGAGCCCTGGAACCGCTGTTACCTCTTAGAGCTGGTGGGTGCCTGGATCTCCTCCTCCAGCAGCTTCTCATCCGCCGGGTCCAGGAGAACTACCAAAGAAATCCTCCAGTATCTCCCCAGCGTTGGGTCCCCTCTGCCTCCCACCAAGGGGAAGGGACACCCCTAAGGGCTGAGCTCACCACCAGGGTCGATGCGATAGGTGTCGGGGTTGATGAGGTCGATGGTGACGCCCAGGTCAGGCTCAGTCAGCAGGTCGTGCTTGTGCTGCTTCTCCAGAGACGTGGCCTTGTACTGCACGAACCTGGAGGGCGTGATGTGGAATCACAGAATCACCAAGGTTGGAAAAGACCTACGAGATCACCCAGTCCAACCGTCCACCCATCACCAATAGTTCTCACTAATCCATGTCCCTCAACACAAAATCCAAACGTTCCTTGAACGCCTCCAGGGTCAGTGACTCCACCACCTCCTTGTGAAGCCCGTTCCAGTGCCTGACCACTCTTTCAAATAAGTAATATTTCCTAAAGTCCAGCCTAAATCTCCCCTGGTGCAGCTTGAAGCCATTCCCTTTATTATTCCCTTATCACTGTTAAATGAGAGGCTGACCCCCAGCTCACTACAACCTCCCTTCAGTTAGTTATACAGCAATAAGCTCTCCCCTGAGCCTCCTCTTCTCCAGACTGAACACTTACAGCTCCTTCAGCCACTCCTCACGAGGCCTGTGCTCCAGACCAGCTTTGTTGCCCTTCTTTGAACCCGCTCCAGGGTCTCAATGTCTTTCTTAGTCACAGATCAGAGTACTGGCAGTCACAGAATAGCCAGGGTTGGAAGGGACCTCAAGGATCACGAAGCTCCAACCCCCTGCCACGTGCAGGGCCACCAACTTCCACATTTCACACCACACCAGGCTGCACAGGGCACCATCCAACCTGGACTTGAACACCTCCAGGGATGGACGGGGCATCCACAGCCTCTCTGGGCAGCTGTTCCAGCACCTCACCACTCTCACAGCAAACAATTTCCCCCTGACATCCAACCTCAATCTTCCCACCTTCAACTTCAAGCCATTTCCCCTCCTCCTGCTGTTATCTCCCCTTTCAGAGAGTTGAAGAGTTGTCAAGAGGCGTTTGCAACACAAAAGCCAGGTGCCATAACAGAAGTTCGCTTGCAGCGACCCTCTTCAACCCCTGGATCACAGCCTGCTGCAGGTTTTGCACACATCGACCCAACCAGACCCCAAAACTGAACACATTACCCGGAGCTGAGCACAGGGGGACGATCAATTCCCTGCTCCTGCTGGCAGCCCTGTTTCTGACGTCGTCGACACGTCCCAGGACCTCCCCCAGAACCCGAAATTCCTTTCTAAACAACCCGGGACCCCACCGCCTCCATTATTACCCCCAGCTTACCGGTTCTGGTCGAAGGGGTAGGTGATGAACTTGGGGTCGAAGGGGATGTCGGGGAGGCTGTTGCAGTATTTCACCCGGCACACCACGCCCGACCTGCAGGCAGCGCTGTCAGCGAGGGGGGAGGGGGGAAAACCGAGACCCCCTTGGATTCCCCTTTAGAAACCGAGCCCCCCCCTCACCTCTCTGGCAGCGTTCGGTGGGAGCTGGGCCTGTGGGGAGACAGAGGGGATGGGGGGGGGGGGGGGGTGAGGGGAGAGTCCCGCAGCCCTCTGACGTCACGCCCCTCGCTCGTGACGTCACAGCCGTGACGTACCGGTGACCCGGCTCCTCCCGCTGCGCCTGCGTCTGGATGGTCGGCGCCATGACGGTGCCGGGAGGCGGCGTCGGTCCTGCGCAGGCACCGAGCTGGACAGCCGCGACCGGAAGCGAAAGGAAGACTTCCGGTAGGTGAGAGGGCCCTCGGGTGTGACGTCACTTCCGGGCGCGCGGTGGGAGGGAGGGCGCGCGAGGCCGACTGGGAGCGGAAGTGAAGGGAATAGCGGGAAAATGGCGGCGCCCTCACAGCAGCCGCCGGGACCGCAAGCCGCGCCTGCGCCGCCGCCGCTGTCCGCCGCTCCCGGACCTGGACAAGGAGCGGGACCGGGACCGCCGCTTCCGGCGCAGGTGGCGGCCGCGCAGGCGCAGGACTTCGACCCGGTGCAGCGATTCCGGTTGCTCATCCCGCAACTGAAGGAAAGCCTGCAGGTAGGCGGGGCCTGGCGGTGTGGGGCGGGGCCTGGCGGTGTGGGGCGGGCGAGCCGCTCTCGGGGCGTTGGGGGGGAGGGGACGAGCCCTGGGCCGGCGGTGTGGGATCCCGCCTTACGTGACCCGCTGTGCTCCCCTCGCAGACGCTGATGAAGGTGGCGGCGCAGAACCTGGTGCAGAACTCCAACATCGACAACGGGCAGTGAGTGAGCCCGGCAGGGTGCTCACCTGCAGGCCCCCAATCCCATCCCAGCACCCCCCTCCCCCCCTCCCCAAGACCCCCACCGGTTTCCCTCGGTCCTACCCAAACTCCCCAGGCTCTTCTCCCTGCCCCCAGCAGCCTCCACACGCCCCCTCCCCTGCCCCCCACCTCCCCCCAGTCATTCTCTAGGCTCCTTTCCTTGGCCCCCCCAGTGTCACCCTGGCCGTGTGGTGACATTGGTGGTGATGGTGGCCGTGTCCCACGGGCAGAAAGAGCGCCGACGGAGCCTTGCAACGCTTTGACAAGAGCCTGGAGGAGTTCTACGCGCTGTGCGATCAGCTCGAGCTCTGCCTTGTGAGTGGCTCTCCAAGTGCTGTTTGTGCCCCCCTCCCTCCCGTTTTCCATTTCCCTTTGGCAATGTCCTTTGCACACTCCTTGTCGTCCATCCCCTCCCCCCTCCCCACCTCCCCCTTGGCACACACACAGACCCGTGTCCCCTCTGGTGACACCCCCTCCCCAGCGCCTGGCGCACGAGTGCCTCTCACAGAGCTTCGACAGTGCAAAGCACGCACCTGCGTTGGTGCCAGCAGCTCCCAAAGGCGAAGGGGCTGCCGGCGAGAGCCTCCCCTACACCCAATACCTGCCCCTCATCAAGGCACAGATTGCAGGCGCCAAGGACATCCACAACGCCCTGCTGGAGGGTGCCAACAAGATCACCGGCAAGCTGCCCCCCACGGGGGGGCCCTGATGAGGTCGTGGGGGTAGGAAGCGGGCAGCCACTGTGACAATAAAGGCACCCACGTGCATGGCAGCATCCCTGAGGATTCGTGGGGGGGTGTTTCTGAGCTGTGTGAGGGTCAGATATATGTAGAGGATGTCACCCTACGTGTGGGGGGATTGCCTGTACACTGAGGTGTGCGTTGGGGGAGGGATCATCCATATGGAGGCAACGTGATGACACCAAGCTGAGCAGTGCAATCGATACGTTGGCAGGAGGGGAAGCCATCCAGATGGACCTGGACAGGATGGAGAAGCAGGCCCATGAAAACCTAATGATGTTCAATAAGGTCGAGTGCAGGGTGCCGCGTTGGGTCGGGGCAATCCCAGGTATTTATACAAAATGGGGGAGGATCTCCTTGAGAGCAGCCCTGCAGAGAAGGACTTGGGGGGTTCTGGTGGACGAGAAGCTGGATGTGAGCCAGCAGTGTGTGTTTTGTAGCCCAGAAGGCCAGCTGTGTTCTGGGCTGCATTAAAAAAGGGGTGGCCAGCAGGGAGAGGGAGGTG